AAGCTTGGAGAAGGAGGGCAGGCTGTGTGACCCGATTCCTCAGCTAATGCTGTAACCTGTTCGGGGTCCGTGTTTGTAGTTGTAGCTGTTTGTTGTTTTTATTTTTTGTTTTGTTTGAGACTGGATAACTCTGTGTGCCTCTGGCTGCTCTAGAACATGAAAATCAGCCTGGCCTCCAACTCAAGGAGATCCATCTAACCTCTGCTTCCTAGGGCTGAGATTAAAGGTGTGTACCACCACACCCAGCTCTGCTGTAACTGTTTTTTTAACCCCATGGGGACAAAATTCTAGGATCAGAACACTCACTGGTATCACCTGGTGTACAGTGAATCTGGGAGAAGCCATGAGCTTTACCTGGACCACCTGTGGAATAGGAAGGTCTTTGGGTTGGGTTTGGAAGAGGAAGCTACTAAGTGGCTTTTTCTCTGGCTCAGATCAACTATTTTATCTGCACTCAGGAAACTATCTCTATGGCAAGGCATAAACTCTTTCAGTGATGACTTTACTGAGGTTGTGGTTTTCTAAACTCTTCAGAAAGTATGCCATGCTCAGTACTGATATGAGGATCATGCAGAGGTATTTACTATTTTCTGTAATAAATCAGCACATAAACTTTTCTCTCAAGCTTTCCATATGATGGTCAAATAACACCAGAAAGTTTTTTCTTTTTTTTTCAAATGTCAAAATTATTTATTTTGTCATTTAATATATTTTTTGAGAACTTCATGGATGAACACTACATCTTCCTCACTCCAGTTTCCCTCTCTCTTCATTCCAACTCTTCCCATCCCTCAATTAATGATCTATTCTTTAATTACTATCATAACACATATGTACATATGTATTGGCAGGAAATTTACCCACATTCAAAAGTCCTTGATGTTTCTGGTATATATCAAGGCTAGGATGGGTTTTATGTCTGAGTTCTTTGATGGAAATTCAGATTAGTTACATAAAGCAAGAACTATGTAGAGCCTAGCATAGGAAATCTATTCATGAATATCCTTCATTTTGTATTAACTCCTTTGTTTATTGGGTAAGGCACAATCACTTTTGTTAAATTTGACCAAATGGAAGATAATATCATTTAGAATTCAGTGAACACAATATAGTAGGCCAAAGTGCGCAACTGAGTAGTAAGTTCTTTCTTATACTGTTTTGCTTGGAGTGTGCATGCACTTGGGTCCCACGTCAAATGGGTTTTCTACTGTTGGTGACAATTGGAAGCTGCAAAGATGCTGCTCACAGAATCCGGTCCTCTCCACAGTCTAGAACACATGTCCACTCATTCTGCCCTGTATTCCCTCATACCAGTGTGATGGCCTCCCTGCCTACTTCCCTTGACATTTCCTGCCCTTCCTTCATTTCTAAGACCTGTTGATGAAATGGTTTCTCCACTATTGACTTCTCTCATGATGTGTAGTGGTTCCAGGAAGCAGGTGTGCTTTAGTTAAGAGTACACCAACAGAAATATGTGCCATGTGGGTGTTATGTAGTTAGTGTTATAGTGATTGTGGGGGTGTAGATATAAATACCATGGATTACAAATTGTAATTTTCTTTGAGCTGGGTGAAGCATGTGGAGTTCCCTTTTTTTTTAATTAAGAAAAAAATTATTCATTTTACATACCAATCAAGATCCCCCTCTTCGATCCTTCCTCCCCTCCAGCCTCCCAGTGGAGTTCCTTTTATGCATTACTAAATTTAACATCTATCTTTGATCCACATTGCATGAATGAGTCCAGGTAAGCTCAATGACCATGAGTGTCTTAGTTAGGGTTTCTAGTGCTGTGAAGAGACACCATGACCACAGCAACTCTTAAAAAAAAAAATTCATTGGGGCTGGCTTACAGTTAAGAGGTTTAATCCATTGTCATCAAGGCTTGAAACATGGCAGCATGCAGGCAGACATGGTGCTGGAGAGAGGCCGAGAGTTCTACATCTTGATCCAGAGGCTGAAAAAGCAGACTGTATCCCACACTGGGCACAGCTTGAACATAAGAGACCTCAAATCCTGTCCCCACAGTGACATACTTCCTCTGACAAGGCCACACCTCCTAATAGGGCCACTCTCTATGGGCCAAGCATTTAAACACCTGGTCTATGGGGGCCATTCCGGCTTAAACCACCACAATGGGTTTCCACTTTTACAGTCCTTGCTATTAGATCTAAGTCTCAAGAAACTGTATTATTATCATGATGTTCACTTACTGACCCTCAATACCACCTTTCTGTTTCTGATCATCTGAGGTGGGTACTGGTGTGATTCCTAGTGATAGATCACACAAGATATAACCTAACAAAGCAGCTGATCTTCTGAAACCTGTTTCTATAATATGACTTATTATTATCCACAGATGCTGGCCATCCATCTTACCTATCCATCACCTAGGGTGATGTAGGTAGAATTTTCTCATTTCTGGGGAGTTTGGTGGTGGATTTCTAAAGAAGCAAAACTGCTAGCATGAATCCATATCTGTTAAAGGGGGATTTAGTAGAGTGGCTAACTAGCTGTGATCTGGCTAGTCCAACAGTAGATGTCTCTCTAAGGAAAGGCCAAGAGTCCAGTAGTTATTGTATCCATGAGGCTGAATGTCACACCTGGTCTTCAGTATACATTGGAATCCCTAAGAAGTGGGTTCATATACCAGCAAAGGCATGCCCCAGCAGCAGGATAGATGAACTTGCCAGAGAGAATGATGGCAAGCAGGCAAAGAACAAAAGCTTCCTTCTTCTATGTTTTTTTTAATGTGGACTACCACCCGAAGATGTAGCACAGATTTAAGGTGTATCTTCCCATCTCGAATTATCTAATCAAGAAAAAATACACAGGTGTTCCCAGCTGCTTGGGTTTCAGTTTATTCCAGATGTAGTCAAGTTGACAACCAAGATGAGCCATCACATGGGTATATGAAAAGACAAAACCACAACACTCAGTTATTTCACTAACTAGTCCTCCAGTGGCTGTACCATTAGCGAAAATGAAACCAAAAGATTTGGGAGAACTCACCCTTCTGTCCTGTTCTCTGTATAACAGCCCTGGGTGTACTGGAACTAACTCTGTAGAGCAGCCTGGCCTCGAACTCACAAGATACACATGCTGCTGCCTCACAAGTACTGAAATTAAAGGCATGTGCCACCACCACCCAGCTGATACTGAAAATTCTTAACTGGCTGAGTTTTTTAATCTATTGTAATCATCGAGTTTCAGGGTACCTTCTTCATACATGTCAATGTACTCTGTCCTCATCTTGTGCCCCTCCAACCTATATGCCTCCATGTCCCCTTCCCTCCAGTTGGTTCATATTAATCCTCTAGCTAGTCCTTGATTCTGCTTCCCTCTTACAGATAACCTCATTGCTAGACTGCCCACCTCCCTTAATACCTCTTCAGCCTTTCATGATCCCTTCTCGAGACTGGGATCTAAAAAACACAGGTACAGACACACATGCTTTTAAGGTTAGGTGCAGCCTGCGAAATAAAATGTGGGATATTTGTCTTGCTGAGGTTTGGATTCTCTTCTCTGAACAATGACTTGCAGTTATACTCACGTTTCTGAAAATATCATGGTTTCCTTTTCTTCCCAGCTACATAGGAGAATCTTATTGTGTCTATGTCATGTTTCCTTTGTCCATTCTTCTGTATACAGATATCTACACTGACTTGATTTCATGGATGTGCTTGCATCTCTGTGGTCTGTTGACTAAGAGTCCTTCAGGTTGAATCGAATGGGATTCCTGGGCCAGTGCTCAACTTTCTTAAGAAAATTCATACTTATTTAGTAGGAGTTGCACCAACTTCTAACACAGAATGGTTCCTCTTCTCTACATTCTCATCAGCATTTGTTGTTGTTGTGAATGTGTTTCATGATGGTAGCTATTCTGACGTTGTTCAGATGGAATATCAAAGCAGCTTTAATTTGCTCTTCTCTGATAGCTCAGGCTATTGAAAACATTTTCAAGTATTTATTTAGTGTCTTGATGACTGTCTCTATACTTCATTAGTGCACTAATTGACTGGATTATTTGAGTGTTTACCCTTTCGGGATTTCATTTTTACATTGTCAAAGCATCCAGCCTTCCTCCAGTTCTTACATCCTTTTCTCATCTCTTCTGCGTCACACTGAGCCTTGGAGGGGGTAATATAGACTTCCCATTGATGGCTGAGCATTCAGCATCACTTATTCTCAACTCCTTGACTATTGTGACTTACTCTATAATACTCCTACTCACTATAAAGAGCAGCTTCCATGGCCAGTGTAGACAATAGTACTAATTCATGGATACAAACACAAATATTTAGGTGGAAAATTGATGGGCATATTTTGCCGAATTTCACAAAACAACATTGGCAGCTCCACCAACCCCAGAGCCTATGACCACCACAACCACATGGTTTTGATTGCCAAAATAGAGGGTTTTCAGCACCAACGTGTAAAAGGAGTCGCTTAGATATCACAGTCATAGAAAACCCAAGATAGATACAACAAGGGTCTCCTGAATCCTTAAGACCACTTCTTTTGATGATGGGTTGTGCTCTCCAGTTGAATTCGAATAATTACCATTCATGTCAATTGTTAAAGTAAAACTGAAAACCTGAAACTCATTTTACATGTCATAATATGTCCTTATTTAAAGATATTGACAAAGTTTTGTACTTGGGTAATTTCTTTTGCATACAAAGGTCTTGGTATTGGAGCCCAGGCTGACCTCAAACTTGAGATTCATAGCACAACATCCTTAGTGCAGGTGTTATAGGTTTGAATTTGATCTTGAAGAACTCAAAGTGCTTTAAAGAGGAAATTGGTCAAGGGTAAAGGAATATGAGTCAAGTCAAAATTTACATCAAGGCCAGAAGTAAATGCAGTCGGGTCCTGAGCATCTGATTAAGAGGGAGAAGAGCCCATTTGTAATGTGTGGCCATTACAGGGGCTCTGCTTTTTCATTGGCTTGCTCTGTCTCAACTAATTCTTTGAACTTCCTGGTTCTTTCCTCCCTTTAGTATTATCAACTGCTCCCAGCCATGGGTCAGACCTCCTCTTCTACACCCCCTCAGAAGGAGGATCCTGATTTGACCTCCAGCCTTGACTCCAATCTTCAAAATTTCAAGATGGAAACCAAAGTCCTGTCTCAGGAATTAACCACCTTGATTGGATCATACCTAGAGGATGGAAACCTTCGGGGAACAGTTTCTGCAATCAGCGATGCTCTGAGTGACATCGAGAAAGCCCCACTGAACATTGCAGTGATGGGGGAGACTGGGGCTGGAAAATCCAGTCTCATCAATGCCCTAAGGGGCGTGGGGCCTGATGAAGAGGGTGCGGCTGCTTCCACTGGAGTGACATGCACAACCACTGAGAGGACATCATACCCATACTCCAAGTTTCCCAGCGTGACACTATGGGACCTACCTGGCATTGGGTCCACTGCCTTCCAACCACATGATTATCTAAAGAAAATCAAGTTTGAAGAGTATGACTTCTTCATTATTGTGTCTTCTGGACGCTTTAAACATAATGATGCAGAACTAGCCAAAGCCATTGTGCAAGTGAATAGGAGTTTCTATTTTGTGCGAACCCACACAGATCATGATCTAATCGTTCAAAAACAGTGTAGTCCTCGGAGATTTAATAGAGAGAACGTCTTAAAACAGATACGAAATTCCATTTCAAGTATACTTAAGGAAGTTACCCAGCAGGAGCCTCCAGTCTTCTTAGTTTCTAACTTTGATGTGTCTGACTTTGACTTCCCAAAGCTGGAGACCACCCTTCTGATGGAGCTCCCAGCCCACAAACGCCACCTCTTCAAGCTCGCTTTGCCAATTGTTGCTCATCCCACCATAGACCAGAAGAGGGATGCACTGAAACAGAAGGTCTGGAAGGAATCAGTAATGCCAAGAGCATGGGCCACCATACCATTTATGGGATTGACCAAAAATGACATAGAGAAGTTGGAAGAGACTTTGAACCTCTGCAGATCTTCCTTTGGCCTGGATGAAGCATCCTTGAAGAACATTGCTGAGGATTTGCAGGTGCCACTGGAGGAACTCAAAGCGAATATTAAGTCTCCACATCTGTTCTCAGAAGAGCAGGGTAAATCATTAACAGATAAACTATTAGAGTACATTAGCCATCCTTACTTTTCAAAGGCTTTCCACTTGCAAAATTACTTCATTGACACTGTGGCAAATGATGTTAAAAGTCTCCTTAGCAAAGAAGAGCTTTTTATGGAGAAGGTAAGTTCAATTCATATCTAACACCTCTCATATTGGGAGGAGTCAATGGGGAAAAATAGGGTTTTCACAGTTATTCCAGGAAGTGCCTTGCTATCTCACTTTGTTGAAATGTTTCATGGTGACTCTGATGAATTTTGTCAAATCCATTCTCTGCACCTGTTGAGATCTTATGGTCTCTCTGATTGAGACTGTTACATGATGCACTCTTAAGGCTTTTCATTATAAATTGTCTCATTACTGAAGTGTTTATTTCCTTTGTTTTTAAGAAGTATTTCCGTTAGATGAAATCCTCCTTTCAGTCTGCTTTTGTTTCCTATGCTTTGGGGACTATGTGGAAAAATCGGATGAAGTTTTTCATACTCATTTCCCTTTAGGAGCTTCAAATTTTCATCTTATATTAAGCTCTTTGGCCTGTTTTGAGTTGGTTTTTATGTAGGGTGAAAGATGAGTCAAGTTTTAATTTTGCCTGGAGTCCAGTTTGCCCAGTTCCATTTGTCAACAATGTGCCCTTTGTGCAGTGTTAGCTTTTGAAGACTTACTGAGATGTTGATGACGGTAGATGCAGGCAGTCTGCTGTACATGTTTGGAGACATTTCTGGATCTTCTCTTCTGGGCAGTTGGTTGGACTATGGGCCTGTTTTTATACCACTGCCATACTGTTCACTGTGGCTATGTACTATGCCTTGAAATCAACTATTATGATGCCTCCTAGCCCTGTTCTTTTTGATCCATATTGTTTGGGCTATTTGCAATCTTTTGTGTTTCCATGTGAATTTTATAATTATATATTATAATAATCCACAGTCTAGTTCTATTTTAAATGACACTGATGTTATAGATGAGATTCTATTGTATCTATAGATCACTATGTGAAGTAAGGACACTTAGACAACATTAATGTTTATAAGCTATAGACATGGGAATCTTAGCATCTTTTGTAGCTTTCTTTGAGATGTCTTTCATAAGTGTTTTGTGAGCCTCATCCAATGCTTTCCATTTCCTTGGTTAATTACTGAAATTTGATTATTCCCTTCCATTTCATTCCCTTTCTTCCTGATTTTCTTCCTTCATTTTCATTTATTCCTTCCTTCTCCCCTTTTCTCCTTGGCCTCCTATGTTCTGTGTATATATGTGTCTATTAACAATGGACTTTCAAGGTTTCTTTCACAATGTCACACTTCTGACTTTCTAAAGTAAATCTTATGTTTTCATTCTAATTTCATTCATCAGTATTCTCTTGGATCTCATTGAGTTTTTGTTATTATTATATTTTAGGTTCACATACAGCATGGTGGGTTATAGTGTGGCATTTCTACACAAGTGTGCCATTATTCATTGCCATTCATCCTTCTATGTTTTAGTCATTCCTTTTTCTACTGCCTTCCTCCATGACCTTGTGCTTGTCTGGATCGCTCCCTTTTATCCCAGATACCCTTCTTCACTTTCTTCTCATATATAATCTGCTGCTAATCCTATGTATTTCCCCCTTAACATTTTTTCCTCCCCTCTAATGTGATTGAGATAGTTGTCATTATTTTTGAAATATTTAACAGGAATTTCATCCATTGTAATTTCTTCAGAATCTTTTGTTATAGAGCTATGCTCCTTTGTGTTTAACATTGTCTTAGTCATTTTTAGTAATTCTTGTCTTCTGTGTAGCAATTTGTGCCTCTTAATGGAAATCTCTTTACTTACATAGAGTGTCCTTACTAAGCAACTTCTCTAGAAAAATATGTCTTAGGAGAATGGCTTGTTATGGAATATTGGATTTATTTCACAGTGTACATGCCATATCTTTATTCTGGTGGCAGTTATTGAGTATAGGCTCAGTCCATTCCATGTCAAAATTGTAGAGAACTATTGTCTCAGATGGTCACACAAGACTAGGGACTCTCAGGCATTGCCAGCAACTATGACATAAATAACAGAGTATAAGTGATGCATTATACATGAATTCATATTCGTTTCTAGAGCCACAATGACCAGGAGTTCCTAAGTATTGCTTCAACTTGTGAATCTATTGTGGACCCAGTCCCAACACTGGAGAGGTAGAGAAAGGTAGACCCCTAGAATTCATACAGTATGCATGTGCACCTGTATACATGCATGCAGCTTCACACACAAAATTTAAAATTATTAACCTGAGAGTTTTGATATTTTAATATATTATTCCTAAGGATTGCAGGGTCTACACTGACGCCCCCCCCCCATCTCCCTTACTGTTATTGGTGACATGGCTTCCAGGTGATTGGCAGAATCTCAATATCTGATATCTGTACCCTGAAGCTTCTGTATTGAAATCTTCATACACCAAAATATTAGAATGAAGCCAGTCTCTCTTGACTGCCTGCATTTACCATGTGTTCCACTGAATTTCCAAAGCTCTGTATGTGTTTCTAACATCAAAAGGAAAGAATATGACTGTGTATCTACACCTTCATCCCAAAGTTCTGGTATCTTTACAATCAGTGTTGATAAACTTGTACAGTCAAAGTTAACACAAAGTCTGAAATAGAAACAGTTTTAATGTCCTTGTAAGATTATAGTAACCTGGGAGTATGTGACAGAAACTGCATGTGAACTATAAAGTCCAAAATATGAAATCTGAAGACCTTTAAGGAAAACGTGTGTGGTATCTGGATGGAACCCCATGTGAGTTTGCCCCTCTGCCTTAAGAATTGAATTTCTCAGAGGACTTTGATGGGAATACATTTCTTCAGGGTTCTTAACTTTAAAAAATGAGGACACTTTTTTAGTGTCTTCTTTAATGTTGCTTTCTTTCTTCCTTTTCTTCCCTTCCTTCCTTTTCTTCCTTCTTTCCTCCCTTCCTTTCTTTCTTTCTTTCTTCTTTGTATCTTCTTTTTTTTCTTTTTCTCATTATCCAGTTAGGATTTTTCATTTTTGTTGGTTGTTTGAAGTTTATAGACTGAACAGTAGAAAGCAGGGACACACAGGGAGTTTGAGTTGACTTGCTCCTGAGCCTATCACCTACCTCTTCTGTTGAAAAATAAGGAATAACATAGACACATATCTACTTTCAAATAATTTTTCATCTACATTTTAGGTTTTCAAACAAGCACATACTGTGTGTTAAGAAGACACCCATTAGTCCCTTTGTCCCCTGAGACAGTTTCACTTCCACTTTCATATCAAATGTACACATATAACTTATGCGTCTGTATAAAGTCTAAGCCCCAAGAATAAGAAATAGTATTTGTTTTTCTGAGACTGGCTTAACTGAAGTATTATGATAATCTCCAGTTTCATCCACTTTCCTTCAAATGACATAATTTGTCTTCTTTAAGTAAAATAAAGTCCATTACACACAGATAGTAATATGTCCAACACTCTGTGGGATATGTAATGAATATTGTCTACTTCCCACTGCATGTCCCTTCTCCCTTTATTCACAGACTTCACAAGAGAACCTAGAAAGGCTGTGCTAAGAGACCAAAGAACATGAGGGCTAAGAAGCAATGCTTGTAAGCATTCACATGAAGTGGAGAGCCTTTCCATGAGAGATGATGTTTAAATTTTTTGATATACTGATCTATACCCTTAGGGTTTTACAATGTATGGGTATTAATTTTGATAAGAGTAAACAGAATTTAAAGATAATTTTAAATAAGAAATAAACACTAGAGTAGGAGATTGTGTGGATTAAGCGAACCTCAAATGGGACAGCAAAGAAAAAGGGAGGCCCTGGGAGAAGTAGAGCCTGAGTAAGAGGGCACTGGACACGCAGGCCAGAAATCTAGCCAGCAGCCAGGAACAGAGGGGAAGGCGCTTCTACCTCTACAGAAACAGAAGATGAAGTCCTGCTTTACTGTAGCACAAATCCTAGGTCCTGCTCTGCTGAAAAATAATCACAATGCTTTCTCTTCTCCTTTATTCAGCCTCTTCTACTGCAAAGAGCTACAGGCAAGCCTTCCAGACCCTCTGCTCCAATGGCTCAGCTTTTGGCATCCAGCTTTGAAAACTTCTTTAAGAATTTCAAGAAGGAAAGCAAAATCCTCTCTGAGGAAACCATCACCTTGATTGAATCCCACCTGGAGAATAAGAACCTTCCAGGAGCAGCTTCAG